ACGCTTGCGTTTGAGCGTGTCGTTGAAGAGTTTGAGAATATTTCGCCCAGCAACTACCCTGACGAGCTGATGACGGCGTGTTGTGACGCGCCAAACTACGTGGGCGCCTACATCAAGTCCTTGGAAGTGAAGCCCCATGATCCGAATGGGCCCCAGCCAGCGGACGTGGATTCAGTCAACCGTTTCGAAGACTACAGGGAAAGCGTGCAAACTATGCCATGCTTACGAACATTGGTCGAACGAATGCCCCAGCACCCTCACGGTCTATGCCTGCCTCAGGTAAACTACCACGTCGACGTCAACCGCGGGAGTGAGGAGAATCTTTCAGATTGGCGCATCTTCCTCGCGTGGGCGTGACAGATATGCAGGACGATCAGAGAGCGCACTTTGTATCAGGAACAAATGTATCTCTTCTACCTCTGGCCTTTGGAGCGCGCGTGGAAGAAGGATGTGAGCATCTACGCCTGCAAGATTGCCAAGGTGGAGGACTCTGGAGAGCAAGTTTGGGATAGGGGGCGTCAGTCTTGGCTGAGCTCTGGCAGGCAGATTCGCCATGCTGGCAACAAGGAGATGTACCTGCAGAGCCCTGACTCTACGCTTCAAGTTCCCGTGATCTACGAGCATCTGGAGCGCAAAGGATTGACGCGCTTGATGAGGGCAATCCCTAAATGATTGTGCAGGAGTGAACGTTTCAAGAATGTGTGGGACATCCTGGATGAGAAGGCATTCGTGACGAAGACGCTTGGCGCTGGATTCGTTGATCCCAGAGCGCCAATTCCACTGAACTAACAACGATAGCGATGAATGGTGCTTGGAGATCAAAGCATGCGTCGCGTGTTCGTCGCGCGCCAAAACAACCATCAGACCGAGAACGTGTGTTAAAATAAGTCACGCATCTACCCTACAAGTCGGGGAGAAACAAGAAAGTTGCTCAGGAGACTGAAGAGAGTGCGCAGCGTGAACTCCCAAAGATTCAGTGTGATCTCTTCTTTTCAGCTGGAGGCCAGGGAGACAGTCTACTCATGGTTGACGCGTGGACAAACCGGATTCAGGTTGAGCAGCTTGCGTGGCGCAGACCATCAGGAGAAATGGTGGCGTGGAGACAGTGTTGCAGCCAGGGATTTAATATATATATATATATTTATTGTTGGAAGAAAGAATGGCGCAGACGGTGGTGAGAGAAACGCAAGGAGAAGACGCGCGAGATTATACGGAGACTGGAGATGGACAGGTTGCAAATGGCAGCTGGACGATTAGTGGCTGAATCAAGTTCAAGAGCGGCTGAAGCTGACGCTGTGATGGAGGAAAATGAAGTTGCGCTGTTTGAATTCAGGACTCGACGAAGTCAGTGATCCTGAGGAGTGGATGAGCTATCATCATGCCAGCTCTGAAGACTCATGAAGTGAAGCCACATGTGCAGCTCTTTCCAGAGACGGGACCGCCGCGGTGGCAGAAATTCTAATTTTTGAGGCGGGGTGTCAGACAGTAGAATCATGACCCCTGCACAGGGATGACACACAAACATGAACCTGTGGCAGTGTCTCGAGAGTCTAACTGTGATATAGAGGTTTTAGAGCAAGTGCAAGTGCCTGGGGTTGATACGGCGACGACGGTCGATGGACCATGAGCGTGTGGTTCACCCCGCAAGCAGAGAGGGTGTTTGTGGCAAACTGGTTGTTTCTGTTTTCAAAAGGTGTCATACTACATCCCAGCTCCTGCTGACAGCTCGAGGTTCTGAAGTACGGCCTGAATCACGTGACCACCTTGGTTGAGCAAAAACTGGCCAAGCTAGCTGGAACCTTGAATTTTGAGCCTCACAACATCTTGAACTTGCAGTCAAGAATTGGTTTTAGTCAGCAAGTGACAGGTCAGGTTTTATAAATCAACAACTGTTATGCATTACTTTTGAACAATGTCCGCTTTGGCCTTGCACCAATGGGTGAGGTGATTATCGCGCACGACGTGGATCCAATCGAGTTGGTTTGCTGGCTTCCCGCCCTGTGCCGCAAAAAGGCCGGGTGGACGACTGCGTGACGTTGTTGTGAAGTTGGAGAGACAAACAAGACTCGAAATTTAATCAATTACCAGCCTTTTTCATTTTTTAAACCAGGACCTTCCAACAAGTGGTTGTTTTGCGGCAATTAGTTCAGTCTATGCAGGACGTGCCCTATTGCATCATCAAGGCGGGTTGAAGCAAAGCCGCAAGTGGTAACACGTACCTGGCAGTCGCGGAATCCCAAAAGGCCCCCTCTTGAATTTTCAGCATCCCAAGATGGCCGGAAACTTCTTGCCGGGGAGCAATGTCAGGGCAAGTCCCGCTTGGGCCAGCTGATCCACCAGAAGGCTGGCTAAGCCTGGGCCGCACGTGCCCAGGTTTGCTGCGAAACTTTCACTGTTCCTAGGCAGTTTGCCACTTGTATTTGTATTTGGCGCAAGGATAATCAATAGGAACCAACTGTTGTAGGCCTGTGCTTGCGTGGCCATCACTAGCGTGAAGTCTGAGGATGAGAAGGACACCATGGCAATGAAGGGAGCAGCGCTTTGCAAGGCTTCTTAAGAGTAGAAGTTGGCAGTTCAATCATACAAGGTAGCATGCGCACCTCACAATTACGTGTACCAAAATTGATTTCATTTTCTGGTCTGAAAAAAAGGGTCAAATTTCCGAAACAGTTTGGAAACCAAGTCATTAAGCCTGAACCCTTTTACGTCCTAGGTAGTAGCTTCTTAAGCTCGGTAGTTACCCCGTCGTACGGATGGACTGTTTGTCATAGGCATCCCGAGGATTGTAGAATTGGTTGTCCCTGGCCATCGGTCCTGCAAACATGACTGAGACGGTGAAATGACCATTGCCCGCAGGAGTTGAGCACCCTCATCAACAACTTCAAAGCTCAGTTCAACGACAACATGGAAAACCGACGCCGCTGGGGCGGAGGCAAAGGATTGTTGCCCATGTGTTTTCTTTTTCGGCAGTCCCACAACAGATTGAACGAATCATTTAAAGACTTGATGGGAGACAGTTGTGAGGTTGATGTTTTCAGTTCTTTTGTGACACAGTCTTTCATGCGTTCTGTCAGCCTTTCGCGGTGCCATAGGCATCATGGGCATCAAGTCGCAGCATGTGACACAGCGCAGGGAGCGAGCCATCCAAGCTGAGAAGGCCAAGAAGCTGGGCCTCCAACTTGCCTAAAGGAAGGCTTCTTAGAACCAAGCAGAGGACGGCGACCAGAAAGACAAAAAGGCATCATGTGGGCCTTGTGGGGGAAGAAGGCTCACTCAACTTGTAGAAGTTGATGGTGCGAAAGGACCGCTGTAACCAGTTGCCGTTTGCTTTTTAGTTCAGAGACGGTGCAAGCTAAAATGTGAGCATTCAGGCGAAGTGAAGGCAGCAGACTTGGCTGAGGCCGTGAGCGGTGAACTACGTGAAGTACCATGAGGATCTTCAACAGGAGTTCAAAAAAGGCGCATTTGACTCCGGTACGGGTCAGGAAGCTTCTTGTGGCCAGCTTGTTGCACAACAGGTCTTTTTAAGCGCAGGGCCAATACCTTCAAGGCCAACAGCCAACATGCGTACTTTGCCGCCGAACCCATCCAGTCTTTTGTTGTAAACAACAGATTTGCGCCAAGGCAAGTTATATAATTCCACAAATAAATATGTATTAGTATATTATATACATTCTTTGGAGGCCAGGGAATGTGGTGGGCTAGTGAAGTGAACAACGCAGGCTTTGGATCTGGGGATGTCGAGAGGAGCAGCGATCTCTGCACGCTTTGGACCTGCTTTGTGTTTCACTTGTGATTACCCATGAAGAAGCTTGCATTTCGAAGGTTCAGTTGAAACCCCTCCCTCAATCCCTGCAGCTTGGAGTTGAAACAAACACCACTGGCAAATCAATTTTCCTCGGCTGACTGCATTGTGCAATTTATTGATTCTCATTGGTCCCAGGTCTCAAGCGCCTCAAGCGTTAAAATTGAGGGAGACAGAGGCAGACTCTCAGGCACGATGCATGTGGTGTTTCCAGAAGTTGGCTTCCCATATATGATTGTTGTTTTGGTCTGTGATGAGGTCATGAGTCATGAGGTAAAAAAGGTTCAGTGAACTTATTGAGATGTACCAAGGGGGACTTGCAATCTGTCCATGTTACACATGGACTGGTATAGGAGGCACCCACAATGGTCTCATGGCCTTAGCTCCTTTGTCTCCTTTATCTTCTTATCGATGCAGATGCCTGCCGAAGAGAAGGACTCGGAGATTTTCATGGTGCAGTTACCTGTTATGCTGAATGTGCGGGCCCACTCTGCCTCTTAACAGCGTACCACCAATCAGCTAGTCTCCTGTTCTGATGACAGCCTTGAGGTCTGAATGAGATATACGGAGGAGAAAGACCCATGAAGGGATCGACGAAGGGGTCAAAAAAAGCAAGTTGAAGCCTGCGTTTGAAAAGGTTATTTAGCCACTCTTGGTAATAGTGAGCACAAAATAGAGCTAGGATTTGAACTCGTTGAAAGTCCAAATGTTTTCCTCTACTTGCTGGGTACGTCCCCTCTCAAGATCTGAGGGAGTCTCTTTGAGTGCAAGCGAGAGCATAGTAGTAGCTGCAATTAAGTTGGAACATGAATTCCACATTTGCATTGAATGCAGACAAAGGCACCCGAGAGCTGCGTTTCCGTTAGAGCCGCGTTTCCGTTGCTAGGACCTACCAGAGATGCAGTTTGAGCTGGGCAGTGATGGAGGCTTCTGCGTGCGTCCGCTGAAAAAGGATCGGCAGTGTCTGAGAGAAAATGTTGACATCAGAGGGCTGAGGCAAGGGTGACAAAGGTGGTGAGGTGACAAAGGGAGCATGACATTTTTGAACTGTGACACTGGATTCATGCATCGTTGATTGTGCGTGAACTTGGTAGGTTGCAGCACTGTTTGACCATGTGACCCTTCGTTATTACAGTAGTTTGCTTGGTGAGCATGGCTATGGCTTGCTTCTACCTTCAGTGCCATGCTTTTTCCTAGCTTTCGGCCCAGAGTTGCTGGGGACAAGCCTGCATGGCCATTGCTGCCTGCGTCCGGCAAATTGGGACCAAGCAGCCAAGCTTAAGCATTATAGTCGACAGTCGAGCAAAAATAAATATCAGAGTCTGGCCATGGCCTAGTTGAATCGAAACTATGCTAGGTGTTGCCACTTGTATGTTTGCTGCCAAAGAACCTGTGGCATGGTTGGCAACCAGCATTGACGAATGAGGCCAATGCAAGCTTCCGGACGGATTGGCCTGCGCCATGAGGCCAAGGACTTCCGCGGTGTTCTGTTGCGGTAGAAGGGGAGTGAGTTCTTTTGAGTTCTGTGAATTCCAGGCTACGTTGATGGCCCAGGTGCGGCCACAGACAGCAGTTTAGACAATAATAGCTATGCTTGAACATAGGATACCAGGCCATATCCCGAATACCACCGAATCTCAGTGAAGATATCGAAGTTGCCTTGTGAAGCCATCCTTCGCACATGTTAAGCTTCACACGTCCACTGCCAGACCCTACGGGCTCACAACCCTCCCACGGCAACTGCAGAACTGCTCACAAGGCCTAGCTGCACCAAGTCCTGTTTCAGATCGATTGTAGAGGTATTTGCTGAAAGACACACAATCCTTGTGTCCCCTGTTTGAGAAGCAAGGATAGACAGTTGCAGCCCTTGACATATTTGAGTTTATGCTTGATTGTTTGTGTCAGGTCGGCAGCTGCAAAAAGTCAAGGAGTCGCCCATGCCAGCTACAATGCTGAGCGTTCTGGCTTGGCTGTCATACACTCAAAAGGACATCATGCTATATGCAAGGAGACATGACATCAGGGAAGGGCAGAACAGCACCATTTCTTTTGGGCAGATTCTTCTTACCACATTGATGTTTTGCAGTTGCTGAGGTCCTGGCTGGGTCAGCGGCAGGCGCTTGCCGCCGACGTGTCCCTGGCAGGTGTGACCATGTGGCTCCAGCATTTGATTCTGAGTCTGCTGATTCCAAGGCGACACCACTCATCTGTGGTTGCAACCGCCACGGCAACACTGGAGGCAAGGCAGCGTTTGGTGCGGCCTAAGCAGCTAAGCTCGCGTTAGGATGAGAGGTCACACACCCCAAAAACTAGAAAAGAAAGGAACAGTAGAAAAGAATAGCCGAAAGAAGTTATATTTTGTCAATAGCAGTGGGACGACAGCATACCATATGCATGCACAGTATACATTAGCGTGTCACGCCTACATTTGGCTCAAGACTCCCGTAGAGGAAGTGGAAAACAAGAGCGCGCCATCGCTGTCTACGAGGGAGAGGATAGTCTACTCATACTTCCCGTTGAGCAGATTAATATCCACACGCAGGTTATCAGCCGTAGCCGCTCTGAGGTTACGAGCTCTGAGAGACCAATACTGCAATCAAGACACAACTCATAATGTCGAGTTCTGGAGGAAAGAGCAGTGGACAATTCTCTTTCGCCGCTCCGGGAGGAAATGCATCGCAATCATCACCTGGCTCGATAACCGGTGCCAGCTCTGCTGATGCTGCCACAGTGATGACCATGCCTTCCACATCACAAATGTCAGGTGAAGGAAGAATCGCTCCACTGCAGGCGACTTCCACAGGATCTGATGTTCGACTTGGGCAACGCAAAGAGAGTCGTGAAGAGACTCACGAGATCTACATCGCTGAGAACAACATCGAGGAGATCGCCAAAGAGGGATATTGGAAGAGTTGAAATTGAAGATGCTAAGGAACTGGAAGAGAGAGAAATTCGACTATTGGAAGAACTCCGCACTGCTAGAGGATCGTATCAGTACTTGAACGACGAATACAATTGTTTGCATGAAGGATACACGAGACTCTATGCAGAATCGCAAGAATAATTTTCGCAATTTTCAAGGTGCAATATGGCTATGGGCACTCACCTACAAGAAATGATGCAAGAGGATGAAGGAGCAACCATACGAATCGAAGAACTCGAAAGGAAGCTCAGACTTGCTGAATCATTGGCAGATCACATCTACACGAAGTACGAGGAGGGACATATCCTTTTCCATATTGGCACGTTTCACCCAAATTACTTTTTTTGTTGAGGCCGCGGGCATGTTGGTACACTTGGCTGTTTTTTCTCTTCCGTTTGACTTTGGCACGTGGTCTTCTGAGTAGTAGTGTGCGTAAAGCACCGTAAAACATGAAAAAATTAAGTCCGACAAGTGTAAGACAGGTGGTTTTGACAGTTTTGTTTGTCGTGTTTGTTGCTTACGAAAGCTGGCTCCAATGGGCTGTCAAATTTGGTGCATGTTTGTGCCAATCTTCGGCGATCTTGGCGCATTCTTAGGGCATATCCTTCGCATTTCACCCAATGTAGGGGCTCTCTTGAGGCTTCTCGTGAAGGTATGTTGGAAGTGATTGGGGCCGGGGGGTCTAGATCAGGGCTATGTTGAAGGCTTTGCTTTGCGGGCATGTGGGTCCACTTGGCTGCTTTTTCTTTGCCGTTTGACTTAGGCATGTGGTCTTTTGAGTGGTGTGCGTAAAACACCGTAAAACAACGAAAAAATTAGGTCCGACAAGCGTAAAGATCGCTGTGCGGCCAATTCGCTGCTATTTGCAGTGCATTCATGCCTCTTGACATCGTCAATGTGCATTTTGACTGCGCAGGCTCGCAAAGTCTTGGGGCCCACGGCGGGTGCTTCTAGCGACTGCGCTCTCGTTGTGGTGCCGTGCGCCGTGCGCATTTTCGCACACGGCAGGCGCAAGGGAAACCTCGTGTTTTGGTGCTTCAAAGTCGACTTCTCGTGACAGGTGCCAGGGATCGGAGCTGTTTCACTTCGAAGTGCAGTTTTCTTGGCAGGCGCAGCACTTTGGGCATGTTGGTGATCGTCGGGGAGCTCAGATTTCGTGACAGGTGCAGTGAATCGTGACTTTTGGACATGTTGCTCGTTTGCAGATTTCGTGGCAGGCGCAGCACTCTGTGACCCTCGATGTGCAGATTTCGTGGCAGGTGCGCCTCGAAGTGCAGATTTCGTGGCAAGCGCAGCACTTGGTGAACCTCGAAGTGCAGATTTCGTGGCAGGCGCAGCGCTTGGTGAACCTCGAAGTGCGCATTTCGTGGCAAGCACAGCGCTTGGTGAACCTCGAAGTGCAGATTTCGTGGCAGGCGCAGCGCTGGGTGAACCTCGAAGTTCAGATTTCGTGGCAGGCACAGCACTTGTTGAGCCTCGAAGTGCAGATCTCGTTGCAGGCGCAGCACCATGGTGAACCTCGAAGTGCAGATTTCGTGGCAGGCACAGCACTTTGTGAACCTCGAAGTGAAGATCTCGTGGCAGGCACAGCAATTGGTGAACCTTAAGGTTTCGTGGCAGGCGCAGTATATTTTTTGCTTGTCAAATGCTCACTCTCTCACTCTCCCACTTTCACCCTCGCTCTCACCCACACTCACTCTTGCTCTCACTCAGACTCGCGCTCACACCCACGCTCCCTCTCCCTCTCACCCACACTCACTCACACCCACCTTCACTCTCACTCACGCTCAAAATCACACTCACTCCCTCACCACCACCGCCACCGTCACCACAATCCCCACCTTCATCGCCCAATGCGTCTAGATCTCTAGACTTTCTGCTTACAGACCTCACACACACACACTGTTTGGGGTCTCTTGCCGGGATAATTTTTTTGCTTTTTTGTTACTTACGAAAGCTGGCTCCAATGAGCGGTCAAATTTGGGCATGTTTGTTCCAATCTTCGGCGATCTTGGGGTATATCCTTCTCCATGTTGGCACGTTTCGCCGAATGTTGGGGCTCTCTTGAGACTTCTCGTGGGGGTATGTTGGAGGTAATTGGGGCCGTGGGATCTATGTTGCAGGCTTTGCTGCTGTTATTTTACTTTTTTGCGGTAAAACCCATGACAGACTTAGGTCCGACAAGTATAAGTAGGTTACTTTTTTAGGCCATGGTGGTCTTTTGCCGTCAGTCTGCGGCTATCCTGAGGCATCTCCTGTATCATATTGGCAATTTTCACCCATTGTTCACAAGACATGTTGTGGGCTCTGTTGGGGATGTGGGGCTGCTGCTCCGCTTTCCGTGTTTTTCCGAACTAGTTTGCAGAAAACTTGTGACGGTCGCCGTCAACGTGTACCATGTGCAGGAAGGGATACACGTGTGACGCAGATGTATACGTTTAGGATTGCTCAGACGATTTTGGAGACGTTGAACAAACACTTGATGTCGTTGTGGAAGAAGAGACATGTGGCGAGCCGAGCACCGAAATTGCAAGACTGGTCGTTGTCGCCGCATCCTTTGCTGCATAGGGACAGTTCGTCTAGGGAAGCAAGCCTCAGTAAGCAATTCGGCAGGATCATTCTTTTCTGCGCAGGCATTCCGTCCACTGGGCACGTTTGCTACGAGGACAAGCTTCATAGACAAAAGGAAGGATTTGGGCATCATGAACGAACAATCCGGCGATGAATCTCAACGTGGCCTGTATGTCTCCTCGGCTTACGGTCAAGTGAAGAAATCGCGAGCCTCAGCCAATCACTTCAAACCCTTGATGTCGCAGTTGAATCTTCAGGGGGAAAATGAAGTTCCTGGAAGCGTGATGTTCGCCCCGAACACCTTCGAGGAGAACATGGACAAGAGGGACGCCCGTCAACTTTGCCGGAGATGGAGGGCAAAGGGGGCCCCGCCTGCCTACTTGGCTTCGCTAGCTATGCAGCACTTATGGGCAACCAGGAGATCATTCAAGAACAACTCTATCGACAACTACGTAACTACGATACATCTTCAAGGTGATGAACGAGGAAACCGAAGGCAATGTGAATGTCAAGGAATTCTTCGAGGGAATGTCCAGCAGACTCCAAATCATCATGCAAGTATCAAGAAAGGATAGAACGGGACAACTACCTTGCATACCAGAGGGAGTTGAATGATCCAAATCCAGAGCCTAGGAAACCGAAGAGGAACGAGTGAGAAGGGGAAGGATCACCACCTCTATCTGCTCTTTGCGACCACGGAGATCTGGGACACCTTGGACAACTTCCCGAAGGATGTCCGCAAATTCTTCACACCGGAACCTTTCAGTCAAGAACAATTCGCATGCCGAATGAAGAATACTTTGGAAGGAGAGCTCATGAGCTGCATCATCCATTGTATCAACTCCACTGCCAGAACTGTTGATCCTCTGATTCCGATCACGAGAAACGTGAACTTCTATGATGTGATGAACAACTATGGACATCGAGGACCTGATCAATGCAACAGTGAACATAGAGCAATGGGGCGCAAAGAGTTCATGGAATGCGCACGAATCGTCCGCCAGGGCACTGCCTATATCTCGGATTTTACCTGAGGCTACACAATCAGAACTGCCCTGAGTCTAAGGCCAGCATCGTGGACGTAGTACAAGCCATCGTCGATGACTGAAAGGACAAAGGAATAGAAATGGCGGCTGCGGTTAACTGCGTGCAGTATTTACAATTCATGATGAAGTGCTTCCATGAGCATCAGTCAAGAGGTACCAAATGGTCGTGCCAAGGGCCATAAGGTGAGACAATGGCGGCGGCTTTCAAAAACCTTCGGGAATTCTTCCCAGAGATCCCTGATTGCGTTTGTGGTGCAGAGGCAGGAAAACGTACAAGACATCAAGCGCAAGGCGACCTACATCAGCAATTTGAACCAATTCCTTGCCGAGCGTCAACTCTCTGCAGCTGACCTTATCCTTCCATGACGGCATTGAACCCGGACCCCCGCAGCTTGACGAGGCCAATGTGCCAATTCCAAAATGGGTGGACATGTTTAACAGCTTCAAGAAATCAAAGACTTATGGGGGAGACGGAGTCGACTGGAATGAGAAGTTGAGAGAGAAAGCCCATCGAGAACAACAAGGAGAAGCGGGTTCATCGCAACAAGATGCTCCGGGATGGCAAAGTGGAAAAGGATCGAAAGCGGCCAATATACAAAGGCACGCCACCGCCGCCAAAGGCACGGCCTGATACACCAAGATCAAGGGCTGCGCCTAAGGCAGCTCCAGAACCACCCGGTACCAAAGACGAAGAATGGT